CTATCCAGGACAGCCCCACCCCCCTCTCTCTGGGCCGCTAACATATAGCTCTTTGTTATTGTTCACTGCAAGGTCACTTTGTTAATAAGGCCGGGGCGCCCCCTTGTGCCCCAGATCTGTACGCTCGGTGAAGTGCTACACATAAAAAACATTGAGCCCAATCAGCTCATCTCCTTTTTATCGTAGGAATCCCCCTTCCAACAGCCAATCAGAAGCTGTGCAGTGATCGGTAACGGTGGGATTTTAAACAACAGCTCTTGCGGCGCCATGATTGACCAGGCTGACTTTGTGTTCAGGTGAGATGAAGGTGTTGAAGACCAGTCCATGGGAGGTGGCCATTGGACCATTGATCTACCATTGAGCCGCCCTCGGTCCTTCATATCTTCCCCGTTCCTCCTCTCCAGACTGAATTTTCCTCCGATGAATTGGACGGATGACGTGGGGACAAAGACCAATCTCGTCACCTCCAACCCGAGCATCTTAGTTAATAGGTACGTGAAGATCCATGACACAGAAATACATGTAGACGGTGTATAGGTATGGTTCTGTGTTATTATGCTTGAATATATTTGTTGTAGAATTTTTTGGGGGGGATCTGGTACGTATGGTATGTACTGTATGTGCACATGTGGAGGCTTGGTGGTGCCCCTCCCCCTAACTTGGCTGCCCTAGGCACTCCAACTTATACACTTCGATGGGGACTGACTGACCTGCCGCCATGTTTTGGATGGTAAGTGGTATTGAAGCATCTCGAGCAGAGGTCTCAAACTCAAATGACTTGGGGGCTGCATAAGTAGGGACAGCAAGGAGAGAGAGAGAGAAGACAGAGAGCCAAAAGAGAGAGAGGAGAGCCAGGAGAGAGAGAGAGAGCGAGAGAGCCAGGAGAGAGAGCCAAAAGAGAGAGAGCGCAAGAGAGCGCGAGAGAGCCAGGAGAGAGAGAGAGGAGAGACAACCAGGAGAGAGAGGGAGGAGAGACAACCAGGAGAGAGAGGGAGGAGAGACAGCCAGGAGAGAGAGGGAGGAGTGACAGCCAGGAGAGAGAGGGAGGAGAGGCAGCCAGGAGAGAGAGGGAGGAGAGACAGCCAAGTGAGAGAGCTAAGAGGATGAGCAATGAGAGGCAGCTAGGAGGATGAGTGAGGAGAGACAGCCAGGGGAGAGAGCAAACACATCCGGGACTAGGGAGCTGTGACATGTTACATTTTTGTTCCTGGGTTTAGAGACAATCTCATACATCTCCTTCTTTAGGTTCAATGGTCTAATGGAGAAGAGGAAACCGTTCATCACGATGGTGAAGGAGTACGGCTCGCCTTTGATCCTCCTACCAGCATTCTCTTATTCGGTGAACAAAGAGGTCTCCCTTCGCGTGCACTACACCATGGAGGACTTTGACCTGAACAGCAAAGTGCTCTTCTTCAACCCGGACTACCTCAGGAACCTGACCGCTTACTGGAAAAGTAAGAAACTCAAGTTTAAACGTCTGTCTTCCGGGCTCATGGTGGTGAGCGCCGCGATGGAGATTTGCCATCAAGTCACTCTCTACGGCTTCTGGCCCTTTTCCCAAGACCTGGATGGAGTTCCGCTCCTTCACCACTATTACGACAATGTTCCACCAAAACCCGGAATCCACTCCATGCCTGAGGAATTTTATCAATACCTACAAATGCACATTCAGGGCTCTCTACGTCTGAACCTGGAACATTGCTAGAAGGTTTTGTGTGGTGCAGCAGAACTTGGGAAGGTCTACCCATCCAGCAGAAGCATCGGAGAGGCATTATAATGTACAGGATGAACTGGTGGGACTATTGAAGCTTTTGATATACACCTCCCTGTTATGATATTTGAAAGTCCGCATGGCCATAAGTTATGAAATAACTACATCGGCCTGGGGTAGTAGCTCTGGGTACGTTAGACCAGGAGTAGGGTGAGAGAGGTTAAAGGAGATGGACAAAATGAAGGGAGAATTGAAGGCAGAGCCAGCTCATTGGTCAAGAGTTTGGGCAGACCAATGCAAGAACAGGGTGGTTTACAGGAACTGACCCCTGTATCTAGTACCTGCACCCAAGTCGTGGCAAGTAACCTGAAAGTAGGGAATAAAGTCAAACACCCAGAGGGACCTACATATAGCCGTAGATAACTACACATGATCCTCAAACCCTGGGGCTCTCAACTATGCAAATAACGACTTCTGCTCCTCAAGTCAACACGTTCCCACTTCCTGTTTCTCATCCATGATCCGTAACTGGCGTCGTTGTCAACCCAGGACGAGGCTCGCGAGTTCTTTTATGAATCAGTGAATTTATTGACCATATGGCCAGGGCCGGTGCTGCCACTAGGCAAACTAGGCAGCCTAGGGCGCACTGCTGTCTAGGGCGCAGTCTCGACCACTAAACCCCCCCCC